CGGTTCGCACGATGATCGTGTGGGCCAGAAAATAGTGTTTGAGCCTCCTCGCCGCGTTGACGAGGGCCAGGGCCACCTTTTCTATCTGTTGGTATCTGCTTTCGGGTCCTTGCAGGGCTTTGCTCGTGAAGTAGACGGGTTTCTGTCCGTCGGTGGTCTCGCGGACGAGGGCCGCACTGATGGCTTCGTTCGAAACGGCCAAGTATAGGTACAGTGGCTCCCCGTCGGCTGGTCGAGATAGCACAGGCGGCTGAGATAGACTTTGCTTTAGGTGGCGTAGCGCCTGCTCACACTCCTCATTCCATTCGAAGGCTGCTTCCTTTCGAAGGAGTTTGAAGAAGGGGAGGGCGTGCTGAGCGGATCTCGCGACGAAGCGGGATAGTGACGTGAGCATGACGTTCATGATTTGTATCGACTTCTTCGACGTTGGTGTCGGGAGGTCGGAGAACGCCCGACATTTATCGGGGTTGGCTTCAATTCCTCGTTCTGTTAGGTAGAATCTAAGGAATTTTCCTGCCTTAACCCCGAATGTACATTTCTCGGGGTTGAACCTCATTTTACATTGTCTTGCTTGGGCAAAGACCGTCTTGAGGTGTGCTGCATGGTCGGTGTCTGCTCGGGACTTGACGATCATGTCGTCCATATACACCTCGAGCATGTCGCCGATCTGTTTGTGGAAAACTTTGTTCATCATGCGCTGGTAAGTTGCCCCGACATTTTTCAGTCCGAAGGGCATTACGTTGTAGTAATAGTTGCCCGAGCTGGTCATGAATGTCGTGCAGTGTTTGTCGCCCAGGGCCATTGGGATTTGGTTATAGCCCGAGTAGGCGTCCATGAACGACAACGTTTTGTAGCCGGCCGAGTTGTCGACCAGCATGTCTTTGTTAGGCAAAGGAAAATCATCTTTCGGGCAAGCCCGGTTGAGATCGGTATAATCAACGCACATCCTCCATTTTCCATTATTCTTTTTAACGAGTACAACATTTGACAGCCAGGTGGAATACCGGGCTTTAGAAATAAAATTTGCCTCTAGGAGGTCTTTTACAGCTTTCTCAGCAGCCTCCGTTTTTTCTGGAGACTGCCTACGCCTACGTTGTACTACGGCCCTAGCGGCTGGATCAATGGCGAGATGGTGACAGGCGACCTCAGGGTCGAGTCCGGGCATCTCCGCGGCGCTCCAGGAGAACAGATCAGCATTCTCGCGCAAGCAGGCCTTGATTTTCTTCCTGGCCAAGTCGGGGAGGTCTTTGCCAATCTTCACTCCCTTGGTCGGATCCGTGCCGAGGGGGACGAGTTCAAAATCCCCGTCCGGTATTGGTCGGAGTGGGATCTGCTCGCCGCTGGATGGCTCATCCTGGTCGAAGCGAGTGTCCAGAGCTATGTAATCGACTTTTGGTGGAGCTTTCTGGACTTCTTCCTCGGGGGATGCTTTCTTGTCGGGCTCCTGTCGCGTCCTTTTGGCGGGCCTGGTCCCTATGTCGACAGTATCACGTCCCTTAGAAGCGGCGTTGAAGCATCTCCGGGCAGCGGCTAGGTCTCCTTGGATAGTAGCTACTCGTGCCCTCTTGGTGTAGAACTTCATCTTCAGGTGGACGGTCGAGGGCACCGCTGTCAGTTCTGCCAGTGTTGGTCTCCCCAAGATGCAGTTGTACAGAGACGGGCAGTCGATGACGAGGAAGCGTACTTTGACTTATCTTGTAGTCGTCCCTTCGTCGAGCGTAACCAGAAGCTCGACATATCCCCAAGGTTTGGAGGTCGAGCCGTTGAAACCTTGTAAGTCCGACCCCACATACGGCGAGAGATGTGAGTCGTCCAACTGTAGGGTTCGGAACAGTTGGCTGTACATGACGTCGACGGAACTCCCTTCGTCGACCAGGATGCGATGTACATCAAAGTTGGCCATTCTTGCCCTTATCAGTAAGGGGATGACCGCGTTCGGGGCTCCGCCGGGGAGCTCTTCTAGGTAGAAGGTGATGGGCTCTGACCTGCCCTTCACCCTTTCGAACGTCACCATTTGCGGGGGAGCCGCGTCGACCAGCTCGTCCAACTTCCTCTTAGCTGAATTGATGGTCAAGTCGTTGAACCCGCCACCGTTGATGACCAGGGTAGAGGGGAAATATTCCCACCTGCTGTGCATTGTGAGCGGCTCCTGCAGGTGCTCGGGGAAGTCGAAGTCCTCGGGCCTGGTCACGGAGAAGGCGGTTTGGATAGGGACCGACTCGTCAGATGGTCGGGCATCCTCCTCCGGCTCTCTAGTTTCTTGGGCGTCACGACGGGGAGCGTCGCTTCGCTGGTATTGCGCGAGCCTCCCTCCCTTGATGAGGGTTTCGATGGCGTCCTTGAGGTGGACGCAATCCTCAGTCAGATGACCATGGCTCCTATGGTACTGACAATATTTGTTCTTGTCTGCTCCGGGCTTGGAGGGAGCAGGTCGGGGACGTTTGACATCGCCTTCCTTGAAATCAGTGCTGGCACACTCCGCCAGAATGCGCTCGCGGGAAGCTGTGAGCGGAGTGTACTCGATGAACCGCCCCGAAGGTCCTCTTTGTTCCCGGACCTCCCGGGGTCTGTCTTCCTTCCTTTTCTCCCCGGTTCGTCGAGGAGGGGCTTCTTGGCGCGAGCTGCTGCTGGGACCACGAGTCCTGGGATCTCGGGCCCTGTTGGCCGCTTCCCTCTCCTTGTAGTCCATGTATGCCCGAGCTTTTTCGAGGAGGGCATCGAATGTCCGAGGCGGCTCGATACCCACGGCCTTTCTGAATTCCGTGCCGGGGAGGAGCCCTCTCTCCAGCAAATATCTCTTCATATGGTCCGCACAGGGGACCTGTATTGCTTCCCGGTTGAAGCGGTTGATGAATTCCCTCAAGGTTTCATCCTGTCTTTGGATGATTTCCTCGAGAGCCGCCTCGGTCTTCGGATGCCGCCGAGAAGCTGTGTAGGAACTGATGAACTGGTTCTTCAGGTTCCGCCACGAGGTGATTGAGCCCGGGCCGAGTCCTTTGTACCAGTCCATTGCCGCCTTCCTGAGAGTCGTGGGGAATAGACGGCACTTGATGGGACCCCCGACATTGTGGTAATGAAGCATAGCCTCGAACCCGTCTATGTGGTCGACTGGGTCCGCGACTCCATCGTACTCCTTCAAGTGAGGGGGCTTCTCCATGCCCGGGGGGATGGGTGCTTCCATAATAGCCTGTGACAGGGGACTGCGGGGGTCGTCCTCGTCGCTTCTCTCCGGAGACAGAGATGGGGACCTGTAATATTGTCTGGCACGACGGTCCAAGTCGTGATGAGTCTCTCTCGAGCGGGATGCTCGGTGGTTGAATTTCACACGCCCATCTCCGGAGTGCCTCCTTTCCTGTCTCGCCGGGTCACGACTAGGTTCTCCGGCTTGAATGATGGGGGCCTCTCCAGATGGGGCCGTTTCTCTTTTGGCCGGAGATTGGCTTCGAGAAGTCTCCCTGTAATGTCTCCGCGGGGGAGATGGATGTCGAGCTTCAGTCACTCGAGGAGGGGGAGTATGGGGTCTTCGATGCCTCCTCGGGGGTCTTCGCTCGTCTTCAAGTGCCCTCAGTCTCTCTCCTTGGGCGAAGATGAGATAGTTCGTTTGATTAATTGCTGCGAACAGCGCTTGAGTTGTGGCATCCGCCCCGGCGGGGACGGGGACTTCCTGGAACCGGGCAGCTCTGTAGTGTGCGAGGGCCGCCGGGTCGTCTTCGAGTGGTGGAGGGACCGAGGAAGATGATGCAGTAGCTCCGTCCCTGTAAGTGGAAGTTCCGGGGGCGGTTGTCGCATGAATGGTGTTGTGGCCGGGGTTGCCGGCGTTGTCAAGGTGTCCGTTTTTGTCCGCGGTGTCGTTATTAGTGTCGACGACACGGGCGTTCTGCTCATCGCGAGCTTGATCAGCCATGACAGCGGTAGTTGAATTTGAGCTTTGGTCTTTGAGTTTTGTAAGACGGGGAAGCTAGTTTCCCACAGACGGCGCCACTGATCTGACCTGATCAGACTTGGACCGTCACGGCTGGCTCCGAGCTGAAGTTTTGAACGAGGTGGGGGGGGGGGGGTACCTACAAGGCACTCCGATGCTGAAGTAAGTAAGAGTATGAGCAGGCGAAGTGTAAGTATATGTGATAGAATGAATACCTGACCCTCTGGACGCAGAGGGTATTTATAGCCCCCAGCGCTGGGCCAAGGTTCCTTCATTGGGCCGGGTAGGTTTGGCCCAATGGAGGAACTGCTAGGTTCTACGTGCGTAGTGGGGACCCGCACGTGGTCCCCTTCCTGGATGTCCTGCGTGAAGTGTGGGCGGACAAGGACGCAGTCTTTTCGGAGTCCCGTTGAGAGTGCAGTGGACCGTGTCCGCTGCTGAAGGAGTGTTCGAGCTGAGGTCGAGCTGAATAGCACGAGGACGGAGATGTCGCCCAGTGACGTATATCGGACATAGCTATGGTCTTTAGATCGGCGTGACCCCTAGCAAGTCCGTTTAGATTGGGCCTTTATCGTTGCTCTTGGGCCAGCCCGACCCAGTCCAGAACAACTATTATTTCATTAACTATGACAATTAACAAATTTTAAGGATAATTATTACATTATGTTAGTCTATATTTGTTAAAAGATATTTTTAGTCATGATCAGAATTTATGTGTGATAAAATTCAAAAGTAACACTAAAGAAAGTATTTTAATTCTTGACAAAGAAAACAAAGTATGTCTACTAAAAAAAATTGTATATAAAGAAATTTTCCCAGTATTTTATAGGTAAGCATTCCCATAAGTTTTAACTAAATTCTACTAACTTTTATTTATTTTAATTACTCACCGAAGCCAATCCCAAATGGATATTGGTTAAATCAGAAATAACAGAATAATTAAAATAAGTGGAGAGACTCCCATTAGGTTTCTGGTGTGAGATTTCCACAAAAAAAAAAAAAAAATCATAAAACAGAGTCAGAATTCTATTCCCCCAAACCACAATCTCTTTTGCTTTCAACATTCACGTTTTCTTTAATGGAGTTCAAATTCCGTGCCATTGACGACGACAACAAACCACCACCACCACCGTTAACCGGCGAGGCGGCGCTGCAGCGAGAACTCGAGAAGGAGCGAATCCGCAGGAAGCTTTTGCCGCGGAGAGAGTTGGAGGAGGAATTGAGAAGCGAATTTGCAATGGAGAAAGAGTTGGGGATTTCAATACCGAGGGAAGAAAAGGGAAGAAAAGTTATTGTGTTGGTTAGTTTTGATAAGCTTTTTCTTTATTGTATCGTTGAATAACACTGTTCCATTGACTTTTATTCATGTTTTGGCACGTTTTGCTGTTTAATAATGGATTAATGAGTATATCAAGATTAGATAAGTTATCAATCATAAACTGAACTTGATTAACTACAAATTTAGATGTTATTAACTACGATTGCAAGTGTTCTACTTCTAGTTACAGGTATATTTGAACACTTACAAATCAAGGTTAATCTTGTTTAAATTTTTAGATAATAAAGTTCTCTAAATGATTCATGAGTTACTATACTTGATATATTTGTTAACCCAATTTGAATTGTTTTTACCATTTATAAACAGTTTGTTGAGTTGAGTCAAAGAGAAACACACATGGCTATGTTATTCAACAATTTAGAATTTTCACATGTGTTCAATGGAAGCGTGATGATTGTCGAAATAATGTATTTATGAACATACTTGAATTGATGTTTTATTTGAGTATCTCAATGCAGGATAAGCCTGATCCCAATCTCTTTAATGCAAAGCGAAAAGCAACTACTGTTTCTGAAATTGAACCTTTTGCATTTAGTTTGAAGAAAAAACCGAAGAAGGAGTGGATTTGTGCACTGTGTGAAATTAGAGCTACAAATGAGAGTGGTTTGAATGCTCATTTGAACGGTAGGAAGCACAAGGCCAGAGAAGCGGGACAAAATGGGAAAATTGCCGAGAGAAACAACAAAAGTGGGGAAAATGTGAAGGCTACTCAAACTGTGGTTGCTACCACAGAGCTACGAGCTGATGCAGAACAAGATCAACAACTTCTTCGACCTTGCACGGCCTTGGAAGCCATGAATGAGACTGTTGTTGATAAGGGCATTGAAGAAAGTGAAAAAGAGGAGCAGCTTGTGAAGACTGTGGCTGATAATGATACAAGTGCTACAAAATCAAAAAATGAGAAGTTTGTGGCGATGACAGTTGGTAAAAATGAATCTGAATCTAAAAATGAGGAGCAACTTGTGGAGACCGTTGCTGATAACGCTGGAAGTGTGATAAAATCCACAAATGACAATAAGCTTGTGGAGATGATGGTGAGTAATGATGTTATAAAATTTGAAAATGGAGTGCTGCTTGTGGAGAAAAGCCAAAATGTAGGCTCTTTGGAGAGTAAAAAAGATGCTGCAATCGAGGAAGCAGAGAAGATAAGTGCATTATCAAAAAGGACAAAAGTTGAACCTTTGTGGTGTGAGATTTGTCAAATTAACACTCACTCAAAAGTTATGATGCAAGGTCATGTCAAAGGGAAAAAACACATCAAGAAAATGAAGAAGTTTGAACAAAACAATGCAAGTCCCCTATCCACACTCTCTGCAGCGCAAAAAGCTCCTATGATCAAAGATACATAAACTGTCAACAAACAAATGAGGCTAAAGATACTAAAGAAAGAAGTGATTTTTGAAGTTTAGATTAATTACATCATCTAGTAGCTGAATCAAGATGCGTTAGAACTTATGAAGGATTATTAGCATATGCAAAAAAGTGTTATATTAATTTCTTGCAACTCCATATTTCTAAAACTAACTTGCAAACATTTTTAATGTGTTTTATTTTTTATGTAATGTAATGGAGAGCATTACCTCAGGAACTCATCTGAACTTGTTATTGCTACATATATGTCTATCCATATGCAGTGCAGCTTAAGCATGTCCCAATGGCACATGCTCATTAGTTTACTCTGATGTGCAAGCAAAGGAAAATGAGCATTTAAGTGAATCATATATTTTCTTATTAGAAGTAAACTTTAAATTTCTTTTAGTTGCAGTACTATATCAAGTTAATGCTCCAAAACGTTCATTTTCATTTCTTCTACCGTAAAGATATCAGACACTGTCATTTATTAGATTCTATTGAAAGTAATTCCAGGAGATTTATTTTAGGTTAAGCCTGGTAATTAAGAGTGAAAATAGGTCAGACCAATAACAGGAACCTACAAACTAGTTTATATAGGTTTAGTTCCAGTCAGTTTTTTTTAAAACTAAAAAACGCTCAGACTTTTTTATAAGTCTACGTAGGAGGTTTTAACATGCCACCCACTGGGTCATACATGACACCTCCACTTTTTTTATCATTTTACGTTTTTACCTTCAAAATTTCCGAAAAACATGAAAATTTTAAACAAATACCAGAAATTTGGTTAAATTCACACAAATGTTCCGTAAATTTTTTGATATCTATCGGAAATAAATTTCTGGTATTCACCAAAAATTTCAGAATTTTCAAATTTCCAATACACTATCAGCATGTGTTTATTTTCTTTTTCAATTGATTTTCTCTGCAGATACCTGAATCAACAAACATGGTACCTGATTAAACATAGAAATGTAATAATTGTCATACATAAAAGGGTATAAAACAAATTAAGAGAACTTCCTAACTTCCTCTTCCCAATGCCTAAAGCGACTCACAAATGCTGATTCACATGCTTTTGCATCATCACTGCAATTCTCTCTCCAACGGACAGTGACAGGAGGCAGTGGATAATCAGGTTTCAACTTTACCTGAACCCAATGATTTTTATTGACAAAGCCAATAACAATGATTTTATGTCTGCTCGTATACATAGGTGGAGTTAAGGTTAGAGGAAAAAAGGTGACATTAAGTGTCATGGAAAGGGAGACAAATATAATACTGTATCTAGAAGCAATAGGGTAACCCATATTAGAAATGCTCATCCATTTATCCTCATCCTGCACACCAGGTTTTCTACTCGTAATGAATTCTGAGCTGTAGAAACCGAGTCATAGAACAACTTGGAAAACAATTGAGAGCGTTAATGAATTTGAGTGTCTAACTGCTTCCGAATCAAAGTCCACATGTCTTCGCCCCATCCAAGTTGAGCTGCAATACAACAGAATCCACAATTTATATCATTTTCAACATTAACAATGTCATCAATATATGGATGTAAGAAAACATGAAATTGGGACAAGTATTTCTTTCTTGAAGATGCGGGGGACGGTTGAGCTGACGATTGACGCGACAATTTACATCCATCTGGTTTGGTGCATGATATCCTTGTAGTCTGACTCTGATTCCCTTGTGAGAGCTCATCATATTCTCACTGGCTAGGATCACGATACACATCACTCTCAATACCTTTTTTTACTCTTCTTTGCTCCCTCTCCTCTTTGGCTTGTACTTCACCGACGGTGGACACATAGAAGTTGTGAATGTATGTATTAGTTCCCGAATCTTTTTCTTCAACACCCTCTCGCCTACAATATCTAAAGTACTAAAACATATCTTCAATTTTTCACACTCTGCCTCTAAATCCCATTTCGTACCAGTCTCATCCTGACTAACCTCATGATCCGAAATGTGCAACTTTGTCCAAAATATATGAATTGAGTCCAAAGGAATCGGGTTGCCATGTAGTTAGAACTCGACAAACTAGCACGCACACGGTAACTGTGTGTGGTTTTAATGAAGCAAGTTTGGTGTACCTGTTTGTTGTTGTGTTTCCTAAGTGAGTGACTCTATTTGTCCTAGAAATAACAAATCTTTCTTTATAAGGAGTCAACCATGTTCATTCACATATTTCACAAATAAAGAAATATCACCACAAACACTTTCGAAGTACTTCAAGTGTACATCAAACCCATGTTATGTATTTGAATACAAGATTGTTGTTCCATAGATACATGACATGTTCTTGTCTTTCTGATTTAACATACTCTTTTCATTTCATACTCACGTTTTTTGAAATATGAAACATACACAACAGATGAGTTACACTCGAGAGCAACTTCTCGGAAGAGAACAACTCCTTCAGCTTCTCTAATGCCCATGTGAAATTTTCCTCACTTTCATGTTCCAAATAGAAAAATGCGGCCGAAAATATCAACTTTGTTGACATGACACCAACAATCTCAAGAAATGGTAAGCGGTACATGTACGAGCAACATGGAAATAATCAAAATCAACAAAAATAAACATGGAAACAACAAATGTCAGGATGTCCAATAAAATATTCTTACGTATTTGTCTTGTATGTGCAGACAAAAATCAACAACAAATGAAACATATTCAACAACTTCACTGAATCTGCATGTGTCCAAAAAATATCAGCAACAACATCTACGTCATCCCTATTTCTATTCCAACACATGTATTTCTTTTTATGAATAAGACTCAACAACATTTGTATGTTTGTCAATGGTCCTCTCTTGCCCGTTCTGAATGTAGCTCTGGCTCTATACACTTGGGTAACACTGGTTAGATTTTCAGGATCTTTGTCTTTTAGAGCAACGACTATGAACCTTGGAGCCATGATGTACTTTATCATGTCATTCACAAATTGTCGTTCATGATCTTTTAAACGACTCAATATGTAATGGTCTTCTAAATCCTTAGATAATCTATGGTTGTGCATCCCACACCTAACCATCATCTTCCAACCAACACCACTTAAAACAACTCTTTGCCTAAAAGGACATTTCACTTTTATTAGTGATGAAGAACTCCGTACAATCTGTACAAGAATTCATAGAAGAAGTTGTCGGCTGAGGACTGCAAAAATAAAAAGGTTCATTTTCTGCCATATCGAAAATTACAAGGTTGGCTAAATTTCTGGTAAACCGAAAAATTTGAAATTTTCGGTAATTTTGCAATGTATCGGAATTTTGGGGAAAATCCGGTAAATTTTTCGAAAATTTGGAGATTGGTATCGCAAATTTGAAATTTCAGGTGAATCGCTTCCGAAAATGTCTAAAATCAACAGGATTTCTAGTATTTTGCCTAATGCGATACCGGAAATTCCAAAATGTGTACCGAAAATTTCCAAATGACTTTTTTTCCACAAAACGTTATTTTTGGGGTTAATAGTAGTAGGGATAATTTGGTCAATACGAAATTACAGGGGGTATCAGGATTAATACAGGAGGTGGCATGTTAAATTCTCCCTATTTAGTTAAAAAGGCTAGGCCACATGCTGTAAAAAAAGCCTTTTAAGCCTATCAGGCCGGCCTATTTAAATAAATATGAATAATTTTATTATTATTAGATGTTGATCTGTCACCATTTCTGTTATATTTATTATCATTTTAACAGGTGAAAGTAGGCGAGTTATTTTCATTTTTCATATAGTTTGAGTGGTTTATATGTCAGTTTCTTTAATTTCGTATTTAACTGTGTTTTAATCACTTATGGTATTTTTGACCTTTTTGGGAAGGTTAACGTGTTTTGTAGGTCGAAGGAAGTCAATGATATGGCCGAAAAAGGGACGCGGAGAATTTTCATAAAGATGTGAGATCTGGAAATTTTCAGCATGTTTTTCATCATGATAGGCGTGCAGTATTTTGATCATAAATAGAGCGTCGTAAATCAAAATAATATGGGACCAGCGGAAAATGAAAGCTAACATCCAAGCTAATTCCGCTCGGATGATACGTGTATCAAACATTTCATACGCGAATGAGAATGCTGAAAAAACACATTGATGCCCGTATGCGTACCATACACAAAAATCATGCCCAATACGCCCCCATATTCCCCCATACACGTATGGCACCCATCATACACGTATGGGCACCCAGAATCGCAAAAATAGGCCCATAATTGCTCTATTTAACGCGAGAATATGAATTTCACCAGGTTGGGCAATTTTTTACGATAAAGACACATTTAAAAGGATGGAGAACTCATCTACGCGTGGGATCAAGGTTTTCATGAAGCTTTCGTGATTGAAAACTAAATTTCATCATAATATCTGTAATGTCTACACCTTGTATTTTGTTTTTGTTGAATTCTATGAGTAGCTAAACCCCCAAATGCTAGGGGGGTATCCCTGGTCTGGATTTGTTAATGATTTTTATTTGAAACTTATAATGACAACAATTTTTTATCTATTGAATTTACTTTTGATTTGTGCTTAATGTTTTCTCTTTTAGAAAAATTGAGATTTGATTTACGGTTAAGTTAGGTAGGACTGTCAACGTTAACGCTCAATTGAAAGTTTCATGTAGTATATAACACCTAGGACTAGAGATACCCTACATGAACCAAAATTTTCTTGATAAACTAATGCTTAATTTCATATGTAATTCACTATGGACATAGGAGTTAATTTGAATGTTTAAAGGTTTACTCACTAAGAACTTAGGAATAAATATTCTTGAGAACCGGTAATCAATAGTTTAGAAGATGTTATTGCATGGTCAAGTTAGAATTATCAATGGATCCGATAATACACCTTTCCTAGCATGTTTACTCGCATAGACTTAAATCTGTTCAACTGTTCTATTTAATTTTATTTATTGTTTTATTTCTCTGTAGAAAAAACTCCAAATTAAAACCCAAAAGGCTTTTGTTTAACTGAATTGAAACGATAACTCTATATCACCATGCA